GAAATTATATATATAATTATAAATATGTATATTAATATGTAAAATAATAATAATAAAATATATTATATTTTAATTGATTTTGACTTTTAATCGTGATTCAAATTTCAAAGAATTTTACACCATTATTAAGGGGTGCCATTTAACACTCCCCTTGAAATAAACAATGACAATCACCTTTAATGGTTGGTATGAAATTAAAAAGAAAGTTGAGTGGAGTCATGCAAAGCATCCAGCCGGCCTGGCCGTATCCCTACCACCACGTGTTTTTGCTGATTTGGCGAATCCTTTTCCAAATACGACATTTTTGGCCTTCGCTGTGTAGCCAGACTCTTCACGCTCCCATCACAACACTCCATTTCTCTCTCATTCCTCCAAACTCTTTTGCATTTCTACTCTTCATCCATCGATCTCAGATCCTGCCTTCTCATTTGTAAGATCTCTGTTTCTCTGTTTGTGTAATCGTGTGTTTTGTGATGTCATGAACTTGTTTTGATCGGATCGCCGGCATTGTTTGTTTCTGAAAGTGACGATTGAGTAGAGATGTCGAAAGCTGGAGCATTTGATCTTGCATCTGGACTCGGTGGCAAAATCGAGAAAGATGACGTCCTTTCCGCCGTCGATAAGTATATACTCTTGGATCTCTCTTCGTAAAATGCTGAATCTATGCAATTTTTAGTGTCTGCGAGTGTATGTGTAATCCTATCGAGATCCGTACTGTCAAAAGGGCGTACTATTTCATATTGAGATTGATTTCTGTTGTTTTAAATTTTCAATGAAATCATATGCATCTGCCATCTTGCATGTGGCAATTGTACGGAATCTCCCTTGATATACAAATGATAACTCGGTTGGGAAAATCAACTCTGTTTAAATACGAGTTTTCTCTCGTGAAGATGGTTCGAATTGAGGTGGTCAAGTTTTTTAGTACTTTGGTTTATATTGATGGCGTTCTGGACTTGATCAGTCTTCTTGAGAAACACCTATCTAGGACCACAATAATTATTGCTGTTTCAGTTGTTTTGCATTATGTGAACGAGGTGTGCATGATTATGTGTGGTTCTCCAGAAAAGGATTTCCTAATGGCTTCATTTTTGTTTTGCTGTAACCTTGAGGCTCACAAACTAATTTCAACGTTGGAAAAGTCAAATACTAGGACTATTTCAAGGGGAATCAATATTTGCATCAAAATGTACAAAAAGTAGTACAAATAATAAAAATGATGTTTTGAAATGTAGAACAATAATCATGTGGTTATTAACTTTGTAAATCTAAGTTTGACATTCAATGTGAAACCAATGGAGAGCTGAAGTAGCATTATGTAATTTCTTAAGAATCAGAATTTCAGTGTTACCCTGCATAATCTAAAATAAATAATTAGGCTATAAAAGAATATGTAGATCAGACTTTGATACGTGCATGATGCTATGACGATTGCACTTTTTAGTCATTTTGTGTGTTCTAATACAGGTATGAAAAGTATCATGCGAGTTTTGGAGGTGTGGAGGAAGACAGAAAGGCTAACTACACTGACATGGTAAGAAATATTTGATGCTTTTAGAGAATGGTTTCAGTTATCCAAGTATACATTATACTTTGATTAGCAATTCTGTAAAACTGCTCTCATCCAATTTATGCAAGTTTTATCCCAACTATGCTGCTCTGCAGTGGATAATACCACAGCTTCAGGAAACATATTCTAAAATGGGGCTGTTTTTTGCCTAATCACTGTTCAGATAACTTGATGATTTGGCTTTGAGCCTTTTCTTGTTGTGTATTATAAGTTATAATACTTGTCTTTTCTATATTATCTGGTGAATCTTTCTCAAAATTGTGATTCCTAGACGGAAGCCGAATTTAATAAAAAGGAGCCTTGTCTGAAACTAGTTGACAAATGTTAGAAATGGAACCCATCATAAATGAAAAGAAGAAGAAGATAACAGGTTCAATGTAGGACATGAATTAGACAGCTACCTACTCCAGTCTGAAGCCAATTAGGTAGATAGATTTCAATAACTCGACTACTCGAGTCTCTCCTGACTACTTCCCCATTATAATATCAGCTCCCTTAATGATACAAATCTTCCTCTATGATCATTGGTAAATCAGAGGATCTATATTGGAGATGATCATGTATTGGCATTATATCCTCTGAGTTTTTCTTGAATTTGGCAGTATCTGGATGATCATGTTGGGTTACCTCTGGACATCCACATTATCAATTCATCTTGTGTACCTGTGGCTCAGTGGTCCACCATTTCCCCCATATGTCATAACAGATTACAATGCCGACCCATAAAACTATGAAAGATAATTTAGTGTTATTCGCTCTTATGCACTTGTATCTCTATCCAACTGTCAAGCAACTAGTAGTTTATAACTCGATATGTATTTTGTTACCAGGAGTCCAGGACCATGCCATGACTATAAACTTTCTATTTTCTTTCAGGTTAACAAATATTATGATCTTGTCACAAGCTTCTACGAGTATGGTTGGGGAGAATCATTTCATTTTGCCCCAAGGTTGATACTTGATATTGTATTGTTTACATTACCTTGCCTGTTCTCATTCTTTAAGTTATTACCCTCAACTGTAAATTGTTTTGTTCATTTCTGCACTGTGGTGGATGGATACCTTGACAACCACCAGTATGTGCAAGAGAAAACAGACCATCTTAGTATGATTTTACGTCTTGCAAGCACCTGCAACACTTTGTTCTAACAATTCTTTTTACCTCTGATGCACTTTTAACTCCTTGTGATCTGCCTTGAAGTTACATCGTAATGATTCTGAATGAAATTAGCAATGTATTTGACAGAAACATGCCACAACTTGTGCTCAACATTCTCTAGTACAATAAATAGAACATTCATACCCCATCACAGGTTTCTTTTTATTTTCATATCAACTTAAAAAATTTGTCATTTTTGGGGTATATGCTGCACTACCCCTTTACTTCATCTTGTTGCACTTTGACTCTTGTAACTTCAGCACTAAAAAATAAAATGTTAAATGCATGGACTATGGACTTCATCCTTATTGGATGTGGTCAGTTAATCAGCGAAGAGATTATTACGTCATCAGTAGTAGGTAAAAGGCATTGCTTCTCATACAGGAAGTTGAAGAGCTAGAGTTGCAGTCAAAGGAGCTAACATGCAATAATTCTTCCTAGATTTGTTAATGATGTCAGTTGGATCTGAATTGTTTTTTGCATGCCAGTATGGAATTTAGCTTTGGTTTGACTATTAGATGAACTCCAATTTATTTGCAGATGGAAAGGGGAATCACTTCGAGAAAGCATTAAGCGACATGAACATTTTCTTGCTTTACAGTTAGGCTTGAAGCCTGGACAAAAGGTCTTATTTTCTAGTCAATCCTAAATTACCTGACTGACGGTGTTATTGATACCCACTGTTGGGTGCCTGTTCTAAATTGTAACTTTGCTCTGTTTTCAAAAGGTGTTGGATGTAGGGTGCGGAATTGGTGGGCCATTGAGAGAAATTGCTCGATTTAGGTAACTTACTTTTACTGGTGGTTAAGGATGATGCTTTTCTTATTCCCTTCTTCTCCTATCGATGTCTCTTCTTATGGAGTTAATTCGGTTCAGTATCAACAAACATGAACGTAGCAGGATGAGAAAATACAGTCGCACATCGGTGGTAGTGATGGTATAGTCATAGTGGTGTATGTAGAACACCATGTCATTTATATATTTCAGATTTTGAAGAGTTTCGATGGTTTATGATGATCTGGAAACAGAACTTTCTTCATTCATAACATTAGCTGCTTTTGCATTATGGGACTTGTACTAGGACACTGTTGCACCACCAACATCTCTGATACGTATTTTCATGCCAAGCATCACTACATATAATTCACTGAGTGAGCATGTTAAATAATAGACTGGTAATAATTAAATTCTTATTTTTTTGCTGCCTACTCTGCTTCATAATTCTAACTGAACTCATGTGGTACCGCATAGTGGCCAAGTGCTAAAAGATTTGACATGTTTCAATATAATGATGGCACTAGCAGTCTGGTATATGAGTACTAGGGGCAATACCATAATGCTATCAAGAAAATCCTTGTCCCAATATCTGTAAGCTATTGAGATTGAATGTGTAGACCGGAAGCTGTCATTGTTGAATTTCTAAGTCCATTAGCAAGGTGGACTACTTGTCTTCTGTTTTTCTCTGCTTTTTCCTCCTAAAATATCCATGATAGTCAATCGTAGATGGGGGATGTAAAGCTGGTTGAGCAAATTAAAACATCAGGACAATGTAGTGGAAAATGCAAAATAGAAGCATAATTAAAGAGAAAACTAGAAGAAGAAACCGTACCAAACCAATGAACAAGTCTATGAACTTTTCTACCTACAGGATTTTTACAGACTGAATCTTATTTGAGTAATGATAGTATTGGTTTCATTCATTACCCTGTTTTTTAGTTTCCAAACATGTATTTATCTTTATCAGTTTTGTCATCTCTCATTAGTCATAAATATAATTGTCTTAAGAGTGTTTGACTTGGGTCTCTACTTCTGGCAGTTCCACATCTGTGATGGGCATAAACAACAACGAATATCAGATAACAAGAGGAAAGGTAAATTCTCTTATAAAATTAGTTGTTTAGCAAAACATGGGATTATCTTATGTACTGTGTGAAACCTGTATATGGAACACTACTTCAATGTATCATAATTCAGAAGCAGATATGTTGAATATTAGACTATCATAATGTTCTATAGACATTAATCGCATAGGTCATGCTTCTCAGAGTGGACATAATGCCTCATGGGATTTAAATTTGCACAAAAACTAGCTCAAGTTTTTACTTGTGTGGCATACTAGGCGTTCCTAGCTTTTTAGGGTCTGAAGTCTTTAGTTCCAAATGTTATAAATCAGACGATTCTATTCATCAAGATCAAGTGAATGGCTCCTTTTATCTTGTAAATGCAACTATTATGTTTCTCCTCTTCGGAAGCTTTAGTTACTAGAGCTTTGGTTGAAACTTAGGATCTATATGTTTCTATGTTTTCTCTAGGTGTTGAACCGCGTTGCAGGAGTAGAAAGGACCTGTGACTTTACAAAGGTCAGTTTTTGTCAACATCTGAGCTTGTCTTGTATTTTAGTTATGACGTATAGAGTTTTGGTGCAATGGACCTGATTGTTCTTTTGTGGTCTTTAACGGTGCAGGCTGATTTCATGAAGATGCCATTTCCTGAAAACAATTTTGATGCAGTTTATGCAATTGAGGCTACTTGTCATGCTCCAGATGCGGTATATAAATTTTGTTGAAATTCAGACATTTTATCTGACCAAAAGTTGTTCCAAGTCTTTCCGAAGTTATATGGCTTTTACTTTATTTACTATCTAAATATGCTGGTATATTTTGGTTTCTCTTATCAAACTATCTTTTTCTGACCTAAGGTTGGATGCTACAAAGAGATATTTAGAGTTTTGAAGCCAGGTCAGTCTTTTGCTGCATATGAGTGGTGCATGACTGATGCATTTGACCCCAATAACCAAGAGCACCAAAAAATCAAGGTATACATACACCTAAAAGATAAACCCAGTTTGGTTTGATTTGGTTTAATTAAATACCATGAAGATAAACCCGTATATCTATGTTGCCCGACTCAAATTGATGTGACGGGCATGTTCCTTTACCTGAACCAATTTGACATGTTTTCAGCCATATCTTTGACCTTTGAAGGTTATATAATAATCAAATTCCATGGTAACAGGCAGAAATCGAGATTGGTGATGGCCTTCCGGACATAAGATCAACTAGACAATGTCTTGCAGCTCTAAAAGAAGCAGGTTTTGAGGTGAGTAGAAGAAATCTATCCTCGTCAAATATTTTTATGCAAATAAATTGACAGATTTGTGGCTATCAAGGTTATATGGGAGCAAGATCTCGCCAAAGATTCACCCCTTCCCTGGTACTTGCCCTTGGATACAAGCCATTTCTCTCTCAGCAGTTTTCGTCTAACAGCTGCTGGACGCTTCTTCACAAAGAATATGGTAAGATCCCTGTACATTTTGCATCTAAAAATGATGCATTTTTGCTTTCTAGAAAATTACACCAACCATTATCTTCGACATTAGGTTCCTTGTGTTAGTTTCTAACCGTCTTACATGTTTTACCTGATTATATTGTCTGCTTGCACACTCTTGAAGCGTGCACACACCGTTGAATCCCAATTGCCTTTTCTGTAACCTTTCTTATTGCCTGCTTGCACACACCTTTACGTCATGCACAAGCCAGGGTCTTCACGGAAACTGCCTCTCGATCCTAGTGGTTGAGATAAGGCTTGCTTACATCATACCCCTCTCAAATCTACCTTTTAGTAGAATATACTGGGTTTATTTGTTCAGTTAGTTTCTTTTATTATTCTTGCAAGATTGCAGCACCTCATTATTGCATTCATTTGTTCTTCTTTGTAGGTCATGGCCCTTGAATATATCGGACTTGCCCCTAAAGGAAGCCAGAGGGTTCAATCCTTCTTAGAGAAAGCTGCAGAAGGGCTTGTTGCTGGTGGAAAGTGAGAACTTAACCTCTCAGAAAACCATTATTTTTAAATCACATTTCAACTTAATCTCCTCCTATCACCTAGTAACAAACAAAGATTACCAAACCATATCTAGCTTTTCAAATTTAAGCATATTTGTATTTTTTTCCCTAGCTGGGATCATCACAGAAATAGCCACTCTACTTCTCAAGGTGGAGGTCATGTCTGCATATATTCCTCCCGCCCCCCACCCAGACGGCTAAGTGAGATACATGGGGCTCATTTTGTTATTGCTATTGCTTACTTGTATCTAACTTCTCAAATTTTAGCATATTCGTATTTCTCCCTTTCACAATTTTCATTAGCTAGGAGTAGTAACAATTTTAGTATATCTGCATAATCTTAAACCCCAACCCTACCTCTAGGTGGAATATACCGGGCTTGTTTAGTTTGGCTGTTTTGTTCTTGTTTCCGTCTCTTTGTGTTCGTATTTCACAATACGATTGTGTTTTCATATGTGCTAATATTATCGTATAAACTTGTGGGGCAGGAAGGAGATCTTCACACCACTGTATTTCTTCCTGGCACGGAAGCCACAATAGGACGATGACCCGAAGCAGAAGTATGATTGTGTTGGCCAGCTAGTGTGAATGAAGTTTGTTAACAGTTACTTAGGTGGTTGACATTTTCTTTGTGAGGTTTGTTTGGTTTAGATGTTTTTGAAGCACTTTTGATCTTTTTGAGTAGGAACACATCAAATTGCGGTCTTTTGTTTAAGATTGTCTTGTGCTGCAGCATCCAACGAGTCTCTAGTGTGTTTTTTTTTTTTCATCATTGAACTAAAAGAAGAGAAGTTTACAAGGTTTATAAGATCAGATAAAAGTAGAGAATAAAAGGGTTTTTTGAAAAACAAATGCCACCCAACTGAGTGAATCATTTGTCAAAGGGCCTTTGTCAACTTGGAAATAACACTTTTGAGAGTTTGAATTGTTTATAAAAACAATTTATTGACTTATTCTGGTGTGACATTGGTAATAAACAATTTTGAGTGTTTGGATAAACAAATGTCGGTGTCAAACCGGTAATAAGTTGAATCATTTTGACTTATAATAAGTTGATAAGTACTTTTATAGAAAAATATAAGTTGTTTCAAATAAGCAATCCCAAACACCTCCTATATATTTGCGATTTGCTATTATACTTGAGATTATGTATTAAATGCCTTCAATACGTTTACGATTTGCAATCCATACGTTTATTATTTAGATTTTAGTTGAAAATATATTAATTATTAATGCGTTAAAAGTAAATACCCACATTTAATGCATTATTAGAGAAAATCAAAAGAATCGCCAAATTGCGAAACTCTTTGATCCACGAGATGATTAAAAATTAATTTTAAAAAAAGAGAGTAATTTACGTTTTTAATCCATATAGTTTGTTAAAAACTACAATGTTAGTCCCTGTGGTTAAAAGATTGTGGTTTTCATTTCTATGGTTTGTAATTTATCGTTATCTTCATTTTATGATTTATAATTCATTGTTATTTCGGTCTCTATGGTTTATAGTTCCTTTTGTTTTGGTCCCTTGTATTTAAAAGTAAAATTAATCCATATACGAAAATAACAATAAATTACAAATCATAGAAACAAAAATCACTATTTCTAAACCAAAAAAGCGAAAACTGAAATTATTAACAAACCACATTAACAAAAATTGAAATTTACTCATTTGCGAAGGTAATTCTGGATTTTCGGACCAATTTATAGGCACCGATTAATATTCACAATTTATTGGTTATTTTAAGATAAAGTTGAAAAAAATGTTTATAAAGTGAAGATAAGCAAGAAATATGGAAGTTAAATCTGAGTTGTAACATAAATTAAATGTCTCTTACACAATAAGCACAAATCGGACAAACGTTTACTGGTTAAGAGTCATCATCCATACTTATTTTATTGGGTTTCAGTCATTAATATGTCATAGTAAAGTTGTTGGTAAATGTCTCTTACATAATAAGTGTTAATTGGTAAGAGTCACTATTTTCACTTATAAGGTAAAATTCTTGATACTTATCATGCTACATTATTCAAGATTTACATTTACTCCCACTAAGGTAAATGAGGGTGGTTATTTTTGCTGATAAACATTTACCCGGTTAGCATTGGTAAACGACCGCATATGAGTTATTTATCAAATGTTTACCAAGTAAGTATGACAACAACCAAAAATCTTAACCAGTAAGACGCATAACAAGAACTGAAAAATCTTACGTGATAAGTGAGAGAGAAGACTCTTACCCAATTAACGCTTACCAGGGTAAAAGACATTTATCAACAATATATTTTGATGGTTAAAATTGTTACCGAATAAAATAAATAAAGATGATGACTTTTACTTATAAAAGCTTATTCTGTAAGCGTTACTTTTAATAACGATTTGTAAAATAAAAAATGAGATAAAAAATAAACTTGCTAATTATTGTATTTTGAAACAATTAAAAAATTTAGATAAAATAATTCTAAATATTAATTTGTATTTTAATAATCATATAAATTTTTAAATTTTATTAATTGTAATTTGTTGATATAATGATTATTTCAAAAAAAAAAAAATATATATATATATATATATATATATATATATAGGGAAGGGTTCAAACGAGAACCCCTGTGATTTACGAGAATGCGAGAACAACCCAATAACCACATATTGTGATAAAAAATAAAATTAAAAGATTTTTAAAACTAAAATTGAAATTTAAAAAGATTTAGAAAATATTAAAATTAAAAGGGTAATAATGGAATGATATCATAAAATCTTTTAATACGATTACACGATCATAATTATCATTATCTAATAAACGGTTAATCA